GGGGGGGGAGGGGAGGTTATGCATCATGGATGTCATGACATGTTCACCTAATCTCTAGAACCATGTAAAAAATATCAAGAAAACCATTTTGGAAAAACTAATTGCTCTATGTGCCATTTTTATCAAATAGTCAGCAGCTTTGAAAAGCTGAGATTATGGATTTCAAAAGATATAACAACTGATTTATAGGAAAGAAAATCAATTCCAATTAGGGTTGATACATGATAATAAACACGTCTATAAACATTCGAAGTTCATGGGATGGGATTAAATAATAAGTATGACAGCCTAGATGGCATTAACTTAGTGCTGCCCTGGAGTTGGAATCTCGTGTGCTGGTTTCTTAATGTTTGTCCAGGAAATTTACAGCTACATGTTGGTTTGATTGTATGTCCATTCTGCAGGTGTTAACATTCTTTGCAGGAGCTCTACTGGAGAAGCAGACAGTTTTTGTCTGTTCTAATTTGGTATGTCTTGTTCCTCAAAGTTAGTAATGATATTATGAAGATTATTAGTCTCTATTCAATTTTTATATTGATGCTAATGTTATCTGAGTCATTGGTTGGACACTTATACATGTTTTTTCCCTCCAGATTTATTGCTATTCATTTATTACTGTCCCCTACTGATAGGAACGGCTGTAATTATATTTGTACTTGAGTTTCTTGCCCTTGCACTATTAGTAATAGCTACAATTGAATTTGAATTTTGATGTTCCCATTTTGGCCTTGCTGATGCGCTCATGCATATTTGATCATCCATATTGCTACTTATTTATAATGTACAACCCTAAAAGTCATGTTTAATTATTTTCAGACAGTGAGTGTGCTTGTCCTCTTTTACAATTTGATTACATTTACAATGAAATATGGATAGCTATACTGTGCTTTTGAGTTTTGATCCAATCATGGATTTTCTGATTTGGAGAATTTAATTGTCAGAAATTAGCATCTCACTTGAATTGTTGATATTTCATTTTAGTCCTTAATGGGAACATTTTCATGAACAGGGAATCCTGTCTGCTTCAGTTTTATCAGTTATTCCACTAATTCGGCCCTACCAATGGCAAAGCTTGCTAATGCCAGTTTGGTTTCTCTCCTTTCAGATTAAAATTCAATATTATTTTTCCTAATATTTTAAATATCACTTCTCCACCTTAGTATTTGATTAGAACACACTCTTCCAGGTTTTACCAAATGACATGCTTGAGTTTCTGGATGCACCTGTCCCTTACATAGTGAGTATTCTGGTTTCTTTGCTTTAAGTCAGCCAGTGGTTATATGTATTTAGATTTTGGAATTATCTGTTCTTTTAAATCCATGTTCAGGGCTTGCTCTTGTACATGCCCCATTATTACTTAGATAATGATATTGAAAATATAGTGTTGGAGCTCATAGAACTCATTTAATATTATCATTCACAAATTTGAACATTAAAATTAGAGTGGTTTCTGTAGTGTGCAGTTCGAAATTTGGTTTCAGCTGTTTTTTATATTTGACCTTTTCTGTTAATGATATCATATATGACATCTGACTTGCTACAAAATTGATACTCTAGGTTGGTATCAAGAACAAAACCAATGAAGTTCAGTCAAAGTTGACTAATAATGTTATCCTGATTGACGCCAACAGAAACCAGGTGTGTATTTTTTCTCTTTTTCTGTTCCCCAATGCCATATAATGACGGTTCTGCCCCCAACAACAATATTGTATTTGTTGAGAAATAGTATACAATATACATGACTACTTCTATCCTATTATCTTGAAAAAAATCATGGTTGCAAATGAAGAAAACATTACTATACACATTGTTGAATTCATACTTGCTGGAATATTATTATTTGCTTGTGACATACATTCACAGTTTCATATTCTGTTTTCCTTAAAAATTATCTGATATCAAATTGGCAGCTCTTTTTTTTTTCATATGGTAACCGCTCAAATAGCTCATATATAACTAAGGTTTATAACTTGCTGAATTTGGTGAATATTAAAATGGACTAATAGCTTATTTTCTTTTTGTTCTGTGATATGGTAGATTGATGGGATTTACCTAGGCAACATTCAATTTTACTAATTTGATAATTTGCATTTAGGTTTTCATTAGTGTTTCAAATAATACCTTATATGCTCACTGAGTAAACATGAGAACAAATGAGTTGAATTTTTTGGAGGCCAAGGTCAGGGTTTTGGGTGGAGTAAGGTAAACTAGCTAGACGGGTAAATCTCTCCTAATAAATAATATATAAAGTTTAAATCAATTTGAATCCCTTTCTTTTTAATTATAATGGATTATAGAATTTCACATATAAATTGTTGCTTTTTAGTAGAAAATTTGAGAACCAAAGATACTCAGACTTGAGGAAGGAATATTTAAATTGAAAAGAAGAAAAATGCAGAATGCTACAGAGGAATTCAACTGTATTCATCAGTCAATGTTTACATATATGCTACTCGGAATAAACTTAACAAACTAGTAACTTAATTATATTCTAGAACATCTACTGAAACAAAGAAACAAACTGTCTCCTAAATAAAGGTAGCAACCTATTCAATAAAACTCAAAACAATAAAGGGATCATAATTTGCAGTTGTAAAACAAATATTCAACATTCCTTGCTTTATGAAGTGTAAATCCAATCTTTTGCTTTAAATATCAAACTAGTCATCCGGAAGTGATCCTGTGAACAAGTCTGCCAATTTGTGTAACAAACCAAAGTTGCTTTTTCATTTTGGTTCACAGAAAACATGCTTTTTCCCCTTTTTAATGGGATTTGAACCGGTTCACTCTTTAATAGAAGCAACTGACATTGTTACCTTAGCCCTTGGACTCGATTTCGTAGATTTTTTCTTGATTGAAAGTATGAGCCAGTTTCCTGGCTTCTTTGAAGGCAATTCAGTATTCAGCATGGCCATAGAAGTAACCACCTCTTTCTTATCTATTTTAATCATGCTACCTAGATTATTAGGAGGGTGACGACTAACATCTTGATCAACTACATGTATGGTGGTGACTTCAGCATACCAGTCTATTTGCTCCTTCTCTGTTGGATCAAATGAAAAGCTTTTACTTTTCATTTTAACCCTTAGAATTTTATTTGCCAGTAGTGTTATAAATAAGAGAGTGCTAATTTACAAAAGGATCTTATAATTTATTTTCTATAAACCAACATGGAGCAAATTTTGGTTAATGTTAGGTACATAAAGAGCATATGAGATTGTTTTCATAACTAAACATGTTGGAATTGTTATTGTTTCTTTTCCTTTGATTGAGATGCATTCACTGTTGCTTATTTTAACTCTGGCAGTGTTATTTGGCCTTAAATCTCTAAAAGGTTGTCATTGGTTGTGTTTGTTTCTTGTCTATTTTAACTTGTTGGAATTGTGATTGTTCCATCACAACGAATTTTTAATATTTAAAGGTCAAATATAACCACAACCAGAATTAAATTTGTACAATTTACATCCTGATATATGGAAATTAATGTAATTAATTTAAAGCATTTCAGCACGTTACTAAACTCAAATCTTATGATCTTGTTGAGTCTTTTTCAGTTCAAGTATTTTTAAAGTCAGTCCCCACACCCAATCTAGAACTTTGATTGTTTTTTGGTCTTTGAGGTTGTTGGAGGTCCTATATTGTTTAGTGATATGACTAAAAGTGTATTTAAATAAAAGAACAATTCTTATCTTACAAGTGGGTTTTGTAAGGTTGAGATAGGTCCATAATCCATTTTCTTAAGAGATGTTATGTTTTATTTGCTCTTGCTCTACATATGACAATAATTCAACAAATTGTTTTATCGGAGTATATATTGTTTCTGAAGTTGAAAAGTAAGATAAAAAAGTATTGTGGGGTTATGTGAGTGCAGGTTTCCTTTAATTGTGCACTGAAAATGATTGGAGCTTAGCTTCTCAATTATTTGAATTTTATATATTCTAACTTCTGTCTATACTTTATTTTCAAGTTACAGAGAGATATACATGTTCTCTTATCAAAATACTGTTTTTTAACAATAGGTGAAGTCATCAACTATACCTCAACTCCCAAGGCAGAAAGAATTAATCTCTTCATTGCGTCCTTATCATGCAATTCTTGTGGGAGAAAGCTACTTGGGTAGTAGAAGGCCGGTGTTTGAATGCACGGAAGTGCAGGTGTGCCTTTATGAATCATCTTATTATTATACATTATGCTCCCTTATGTCCCTCTTTCGGGTTTTCTGTCTATCTCTTTTTAGGGTCTTTTAGTTTGACATGCTTGCATGTAAAACATGTCAAGTATTTAATAGCCATTTTTAAAGTACCAGGTATTCATTTGCCTTATTGTTCATCAATATATTGCTTTAAAAAATACGAGTAGTTTGTGATAGATTTATAGAATTCTATGTCAGATTTTCAACAATCATGTCACTATAATGTTATATCCTCATCGTATGTTGTTTTTCCCCACAGATAGAAGCTGCCAAGGGGTTCTTATCGGTGTTGAGGTCTTATTTGGATTCCCTTTGCTATAACATTCGTTCTCATACTATAACCAATGTACAATCCAATGACGATAAGGTCCGTGTTTTTTGTCTTGACAGCAATCTGCATTACATTTTCATCTGTTATCTAGTCTTAATAGTTTTTTTCTTTAATCAAAGAAACACCGTAATTCTTTAGAGGGAAATCTTTCTCTAATAACTCAACTGCGTTACCTTTTCTTAACAATTCTTTATTGGCTATAATTTCAAATTCAGTGACATGGGCACATGGCACACAAGCTAGATAAGTTTAAATATGGTTTGACTATGCTAAACTTTTACCACTGTTTTCTTCGTCTCTTTATGCAAATTATAATAGGCTTTGCCTTTTGCTCAAGTGGCAAGCATTGAGAGGCAGATGATCATATTCTTAAGTTCAATAAGCGTAATTAAAATAATAATTGAAACAAGATTATGTAAATTGAATAATAGTAATTCATGAGTGTCATCATTTGCAAATATTTCAACTTATATTGCAAGTAACATATTTTAGTTAATAATTTGAAAATGTGATTGCTTGTACCTTCAGGTATCCTTGCTTTTGAAGGAGAGTTTCATCGACTCATTTCCTTATCGTGATCGGCCTTTCATGAAGGTTTGGTTCATGAACTTTACATCATAATTTATGCTAATCATTTAAAAAAAATTATCTTTATTTACTTTCTGGTTTTAAATGATCTGATTCTGAACTGACTTGCACATGTATCTGATTTCCCAGTAGTCAAGCCAATTTCAAAATCTATATATTTATTTGAAAATATAATTCAAGCATAATGATTGTCATCTTGGGATCACAACTAGGGCATAGTGTAAGCAGTTTCTTGCTGCAGTTTTTTCTAGCTAAATTACCTTGAAAATGGTCAAGGGTGGTTCACACAATGTAGTGTACAGACGTGATTGTTGAGTTCTCAATTGTACCCACCTGCATATTTGTGTGTGAAACCAAGTGAATGATTTGTATATTGAGCAGTAATTTTTACGTAGAGATATTAAATGTTCAGTACAGTACTTATTTGTCAGCTTGCTTGAATAATTTAGGAATGTTCATCTTATTCAAGTAATTTATTGACACATGTCAATCTTTGCAGAGCTTTTATGTTCTTGGGTATTATTCTCAGATTACTAATGCGAATTTCCTCCTTTGTTTTCTTGTGCTAAACAGCTTTTCGTGGATACACAGCTCTTCTCTGTGCATACGGATCTTGTTCTCTCTTTCTTCCAAAAGGAATAGTACTGAAATGCAAAATATTTGGGAGTATTAGTGCCTTCCAAAGCTTGAACGCAAGTTCAGTGTTGTATAATTTCTCGAATTATATATGAGCTAAAATTTTCTCCCTACATGTAACGCAAAATTCCACCTGCTTAGGCTTGCTGCAGAACCTGTATATAATTTGTTATAGTTTATTGAATCTTAATAAGCGCTATTAAGGTTTTATTCTATGTAAATGACATTTTTTTCATACACCAAAATTTAAAGCGATGCTTTATGCTCACAAGATAATGAGAAAGTTACCCCAGAACCCTCTTTTACGACCTTGTATGCTTAAATGATTTTAAATATAATACAGAACTTGCTAGCCGAAATGCCAAGTGTGCTTTTTAAATCCTCGTAAACATATGGGAAGAATCATGGATACTTTATTCATTATAAAGGTAAGACCAAGTGTACGCTTGAATATTTGTTATAATGTTCCTCAAATTTCAAGCATTTTAATTAAATTTCATTTCGGCTGCTTCTTTCAAGTTAATAGTACTGATGTTCCCTTTCAATAATGATACGTGAACACTTAACTTCAAATAATGATGTGTTGAACTTCTTCTCTCCCTTAAGTTATTATGGTATATCATTTATTATATTCACACTTCTCTTTTTTTCTTCTTTTTTTTCTTTCTTTTTTTACTTGTGCCAACTAGCATTTTTGGTTCTAGTATTTTTTTTATCTATCAAAATTATAAAAAAAAATGGCACTAAAATTTAAGTTTTCAAGATCTCATCCATACTATCTCAACTCTCATTTATTAATCAAAAATTGGGTTATAGTATTTAAGTAGGTTTCTTCTAATGTTTTGTTCATTAAAAAGGGTCAGCCAAATAGCATGGGAATTGATCGAATGAACTGAAAGCGCTATTAATTGAAAGGCAGTAAAAGTATAGGTTCCCTGTGTGATGATCCACGGCCACTAACAAATGAGTGATGACTAGCAGACATGGACATTTCTCTGGGTCCCTGGTCCTTACTACTGTGAAGGAAACAAACGTTTCGGCTGTTTCATGGTGTCTCTCACAGGGACCAAGTTTTATTATATTTAACTACCTCAAGCTGGTTTAGGTACTTTGCTCAGGTTTTTGATATGACTGTTTCCTAGCGGGAAAATTGTTGAATGCACCCTCCACTAGATCTCTCACCTTGTCGAATTTATCAACATATCTTAAGTTCTTTCACAGCAAAAAATTCAAGCTAAATAATAATAGCGTGTTGAAAGTACATATAAAGTCTCATGGTTAAACAATTCTTTTGTTGTTGGTGAAAGTGGTTTGGTACAAATGTTCATTAATTAAGAATTGAGATTTAATTTTTGGTTTAAGCATATGTGGCAACAGGTGAGATCATTTTATATGTATTGGTAGAAAGAAGTTACATCTACTTATTATTATAAATAAAAAAAGGTCTTATTATTACTAATGCTTTAAAAAAAAAAAAAGATGACTTATTTGGTAAACTTTAAATGGGTCATTCCATGTCATATCAGCCTTTTGAAAGCTTCAGCTAGCAGTGTATGAAACAAAGATTTTGTTTGAAATAGTCATGTAGCAGGGTTGGTTCTATACTTGTTGACAACTTTGACTTGGTCAAGTTTTCAACGTAATCCAGTGGTAATAATCTTGAATTTGCAATTGCAAATATTGTCCCAGTTGTGATTACAAATTGGCATTCCAAGTTGGGGAAATGATCACACTATTCAACAAGCGTGAGCTGACTGTACGATCGTATGTGGTCCAAGTCCAAAATCTGACACTCTGCTCCATCATTCAAACCCAAAATGATGCCACAAATTAATAATGTACACTAAATCAAATAATAGCATGTTCTAAAACCCTTTGATAAAGAAGGAAATCACGTTTCAAACGTACAAGTTATGATAATTTGCTTCCTAAAATCACATCTGAAACATGAAACCAATCATGCCATATGAGTTGTAGATGAAACATCCAAATTGTGAACTTATAAGATGTGTGAATAAGAGGGGAAAGTATGTGCATGTTTATAATTAAGTTGCTTAGATAATTTTAAAACTAATGACAAGTAAATTGTTGTAAATAAATTCTATGTTGCAATTAGTAGATACATGAGACATGAACCTAAAAAGTAAAAGACTGATCCTTAAAATTTTGAATTAAATGTGAAGACTTACTTTTCCAAAAAGGAATATCCAACTTTGCCGTTTTTCAACAAATGCTACAGAAAAGATTGCATTTGGGCTTGTGGCTGTTACAATAATGGAAACATTTGATGCGTCCCGTATTTATATTTCTTAAATATGTCGGTGTTTGTAATAACACGTTAGTTATTTGGGAGCTTTGATATGCATTTGTGGATGACATTCATAGATAGGTGCTATGCTTTGATAAAGTGGAACAAATAATGCAATGAGTACTGATATACGCCCTCTATCTATAAATGCTCTCAACAAGTTTAAAATGGGAAATTATTATCTTTCAGTCGCTTCGATGTAGGAGTAAGACTAGACACAAGCAAGAGATCACTTTCGAGTTAGGATGTGCACCACACTTGAATGCTTTCTTAATGCAATCATACACAAATGCTTTCTTTGGGATATATATATAGATAATTTTAAAATGGTAGTACTTCTCATTTTAATTATAAATAACAAATTCGATTTTTCTTTAATTTTAATTATAAGTAAACATTATTAATTTTTAAAGTTACACAAAAATAAATTTCTTTTATATTTTATAATTAATTATTAACTCTATTTCCTAGATATTCATTCATTTATATTTAATATTAAATATAACTATCACTTAAAATAATGAGTATTTTTTTTTAATAAAATTGAAATTTATGGCATAATTAATTAAAACAACCAATTTAAATTTTTTTAATATTTATGATTGGTCCTACTTTGCTTATAATTAGAATAAGAGATAGTATTAAGTTTATATATATTTATACTTATAAAATTTAAATTCGAATTATTATTATAAAATAATTAAATTCATTCCCACTTTATGACTTAAAAAAATAACGGCTTTGCACTCGGACTTAGAGGTATTCCCGTATAAATAATGTTAATGTTAATACTTGCTTAATATATTTTCGTTAACAAGTATACAAATATCAAGTTTGATTTGTAGGAAATACACACTACTGTTTTTGAATCAAACTTAGATAGGTTTTAGTTTTTACACAATTTTTTATTGTGTTTATAATCATTATTGATTCATACAATGATTAAATTTCATAGTTTCGTAAGTGAATCTAATAACATGAATTTTACATCTTAAATCAATAAAAAATTCAAATTATGTTCCAAAATTAAAAACATCACTAATTAAAAAAATAACACTAACTCAACTTTCAAAGTTAAAAAACTAAAATAAATATTTTAAAAGATAAAGATTAAAACAAGTTTTATTAATAAGATAAAATATAAAAACGTATTTTAACCTAAAACATATACTTAAAATGTTTAAAAATATTCAGAGAATAATATCATAAATTCCATGTGCAAGATGGGAGTGAAATTTGAGGTGCATTGAACAACAAGAAAGAAAAGTATGAAGGAAAAAAAGAAGGTTAAAAACGTTTGCAGTTAAATAAGTTTATGGTATAACTAGTGAGTCGAGTACAAGTAATTAGCGTGTTAAACTAAGATATGGTGTTGTGTGGTGTGCTGAAAAACGCAGAGTAGTAAGTAGTAATGTCATGCATAGTACTCTTCACATCTGCAAAACTTACACTGCAAGAATACCTCAGACAGACTCACAATTTAATACAACATAAATATCAGACCAACTATCCTTCTGGATTTACTTCACCTTTCACCCCATCTTTCTTCTTATTATTACAATCGAGTCGACCTATTTCATTATCGCACCCAATGTTTTACAAAATGTAGTACTAGTGTGCACTTCCATTTCCATATGTAGTTATGTTTTTTTCTAAAAAAATATTTTTTTTTATCTTATGCTTTCTTTTACTTTATATTTTAATTTTTATAATTTAAAATAATTGTTTTAGTCTCTATATTTATATTTTGCAATATTTTTTTAGTTATTGCAGTTTAAGATAAATCGTTTTAATCTTTATATTTGTACGTAGTTTTATAATCCTTTAGTTCTAATCATTAATTTTTTTTTTGTAATATTGTTTGTTTTGTGTTGATATTGTAAAGGTCTTTAATTTTGTGAAAGTTAAAAAAATGGTGTTTTAATAATGGACGTTAAAGATAAAGGTACAATAGAAACATGAAACTAGACTTAATTTGGAATAATTCTAGCAACATAAATTCGAAATCAGACATATAAAATTGAATTAATACCTCTGTCAATATTAATACGAAAGAGACAACGTTACAAAAATAATTAACGACAAAGATTAAAAAACTGTAAATATAAGGACTAAAAAATTTATTTTAAACTATAGGAACTAAAATTGGTTGAAAAAGATAAGTATAAGTATTATAGAAGTCTATTTTAAACAATGACTGATAAATAAATTCATTTATCCATCATCCATCTTATCGATGCATAAGTAAATTCATCCGATTTATCCATTATGATAAAAATAAACAATGGATTAGATTCAATCTATCCATTTAATTTTATGGATAGTTAGTGATTTATCCACTACTTGTTAAATCTATTAAATTACATATGTGATGTTTACTGGATTGAAATTTATTTTGACATAATTTTTTTGTGAATTTTAAAATACTATATAAGAATGTTATGACTCATAAAGAAAAGAGAGAGAAATAAAATATTTCAAAAAAAATTATTTAATTTTTTAAATATTATTTTTATGGATGGATTGAATATTTATTTATGAAAAAATTGTTAATGAATGAATTTTTCACTTTAAAAGGATTGGATGGATTAAATTTTTATTTAAATTTTTAATAAGTTTAAATAGATTAATAAATTATATTTATTCAATCCATAATGATTCATCTAAAAAATTATCTGATCCATCACTTCTATTTTAAATCATAAAAAATTAAAAAATAAAATAAATAAAACTATGATAACTAAAAAATATTTTAACCTATTGTTTTTATACATTACACTAGCAGTTTATTTTATAAATGAGTTTTTCCATTTTATGTTTATCAAATGTATTGTTACAAGAAAGTGATAATATAATCTAGTGTACAAGAAACGTGTAAAAAAATGGAAATGAAAAAAGTGTATCTTTTATATATATATATATA